GGGATTTTTTTTTTTTTTTCCTCTTCCCCGCCGTGGTCTGGGCAGGTCTGTCAGGAGCGAAGGCCCCTTCCTCCCAGCAGCGCTTCCTCAGCGCGGGGAGAAGCGCGCTCTTTTGGGAACACCGCCTTCCGTAGTCGGCCCGATACCCAGATACTTGGTGTGTAAGCGTGGTAAGCGATCTCCGGAGTCGGCGTTGTCATGTAGTTTGTGCACTCCTGTGGCTCTGGAGGAAGAAACCGTTCGTTAGCATGGGAACAAGGTCATAACTTTATTGTGGAGACCTTTGTAGTCGGGGTCTACAATAGAGGCGGTTGGAGGTTACACGGAGAAAGATTTTTTTTTTCCCCCACCAGACCGATGATCTTCAGAGAAGTCTTACCCCTAGCCAGACCAGGTGTGATAAATGAGCTGGATTGAACCCCAAATTACTGACGACATAGGTCGGATGTTTACAGATAGAAACCCTGCTTTTTAAATTGTGTTTTAAAGTGGAGACTGGATTTGAACTTAAATGAACTGCAACCAGTTGGGGTAAATTAGCCATGTGCCATGTTTGGGTTACTTGACTTAGCCAGTAAACTGTGGTGCTTTGTAAGACTATTATTGTTCGTGGGAAAAGGATGTTAGCTGCTTGGACACCAACAAAAGAATGAACGTGAGTGATTGCACAGCAACCATTTTCCCTCCTGTTTCAGAAATGAACGATTTTCCTAATAAAAACTATATTGATACATGTTGTATCCCGTATCAGTTTATACAGAGACCTATGATTGTGAAGGACATTTGAACCTTATGTTCAACCCGTGTTTAGTGTTGATCCTGAAACAACTGTGCCTCACTACAGTAAACTGAATACTGGAGTTATTTTACCCTGCAGTATTACCTTAACTTTTGTATAGTAACAGATACATATTTCCTCTTGGGAAGGTAGGATTATTATTTTTTTTTTTAAGTTTGGCTGGTGGAAACCTCTTTAGGGCTTGTATTAGATTTCTAGAAGTGTCACTGATTAAAGTGAAGAACTAACCTTAATCGTATAGGGTGGGAAGGGGCATCAGTACTCAGATTGAGGTGGAACCAGAACCTTGAAAGCAGTGGAAACCAAGGTATCCCTTTTTGCTTTTCTCCTTTTTGTTTTGTGGAAAAGTTTCACCTTCCCATCACCTGAGTCACCTGGTATTTGCATCTCCGTGTGCTTGGTAAAAGGCAGTGTCCTTGACTTCCCTCACTCGTAGTAGATGACCACCAGAGACTTGGTCTCAGAGAGGAAAGAAGGAAGGTTATTCACTAGGTTTTGTCTTAGCTGCTTAGGGCAGACACGTGCTATCCTACTACCCAGTGCAAAAAGTGGTGGTGATAGCACATAGCCATTTTAATATGTCTCTATACATGCTGAACTCTGGTTCAAATATTTCATGTATACATTATTATTCTCACAATTCTGTGAAGAAAATGAAACATAGATTAAATTTTGATCTAGATCACATTTTGAGAGTAGAAATACTAAAATTTTAAACACCAGTTATCTGACTTCAAGAGTCTTGAGTTCTTCGGAGTCCATGTTAGCGTTGTTTGGTGCCTTTGAGTCTAAGTGGAACTCCTAATCACTTTGAAATTTATAGACTAAATTAAATGATAAATCCCACCCTTTTGTAACATAAAAGTGGAATGAAAATGAGAGAGTGTGTTTTCCTGCTTTGCCCACAGTCAGGACAAATCTCTGTCACCTGCCAGTCCCACAGCCGCTCAGACCCAACCAAGTAAACACAGAGACTTATATTGCTTACAAACTGTATGGCCGTGGCAGGCTTCTTGCTAACTGTTCTTATATCTTAAATTAACCCATTTCTATAAATCTATACCTTGCCACGTGGCTTGTGGCTTACCGGCATTTTCACATGCTGCTTGTCATGGCGGTGGCTGGCAGTGTCTCTCCCTGCCTTCCTGTTCCAATTCTCCTCTCTGTTGACTGTCCTGCCTATACTTCCTGCCTAGCCACTGGCCAATCAGTGTTTTATTTATTGACCAATCAAGAGTAATTTAACATACAGACCATCCCACAGCAAGAGCAGACTAAAAATAAAAACATTGAAAGGAAAGAGAAGGGGAAGAAACATCTGTGGCTCTCAGATGATGGTTTCTGATCCATATTACATTTTGATCATCAGAGTGACAGTTAAATAAATTATAGGACCAGGCAAAATTAGCTTTTTGGTTATTTTCTTGGCAGTGGAAGAGAAGGTAGACTGGTTTGGATACCATAGTTTAGCTGTTGAGTGTCAGCATAGCATTAGCAGTTGCATGTGACTGGTGCTATCAGTATTGGAAAGAGAGATCATCCTCTCCCCAGTGTTTAGTTATCCCTGCCCTTTTACTTTTTAGGCTTGGGAAAGGGGTGAGGAGGGGAAGTGTCATTTGATAAGGTAGCTGCAGAGCCTTAAAGGGTTGCTTGACAAGATTTTTTTTCAAGACAGGAGCTAGTGACAGAGAGACACTATGTGGCCACAGAATATGGCGGGCTCTGTGTTTTGCCTTTCAGTCTCAAGTGACTAGGAGGTTACCAGTCTAGATTTCTTCTGTTCTTCTGAGAGAGAATATAGTGAATCTAGAGCTTTGACCAGAGTCTACTGGACTAGAGCCCAGGGCATTGGAGTCATGGTACAGACTTGATTTGGGAAACCATTCTAAGGGTTGAAGAAAAGAAAGGAGAAGTTTTTTGAGAAGGAAAAGGTGGTCTGTGTAGTCCAAGATGATTATGATAGTGTGGCTTATTTAAGAAGCTTTCATGTGCTGGGGAAGATAATTGGTTCCCTAGATGCTCACTTACAACATCTTTGTTATAATTGAAAGGATGGCCAACTAGTTTGTAAATTAACTAGCTAGATATGAATTAACTTGTTACAAGATTGTTTTAGTTCCTGTTCTATTGCTGTGAAGAGCCACCATGACCAAGGCAGCTCTTAAGAAAACATTTAGTTAGGGTTTGCTTACAGTTTGAGAGGGTTAGTCCATTAATCATCTTTGTGGGAAGCAGACGGGCATAGGCTAGAGCAGTAGCTAAAACAGTGGTTCTCAATTTTAATACAGTTCCTTGTGTTATGACCTCCAACTATAAAATTATTTTTGTTGTTACCTCATAACTGTATTTTGCTACTGTTATGAATCATAATGTGAATATCTGTTTTCTGATGGACTTAGCGACCCCTTTTAAAGTTTCGTTCAAATCCCAGGTTGAGAACCATTGAGCTAAGAGCTTTATATCCTGATCCACAGTCAGCAGGAAGTAGAGAGATACATGGGCCTGGCCTAGACTTTTGAAACCTCAAAGCCTAACCCCAGATACACACTTCCTCTAACAAGGCTTCGCCTCCTAATCCTTCTAATTAGTCACATTCAAACCACCACAAAGATCAGTGGTGTGTTTGTCATTGCCACTTTGCTTTTTCCCCTTAAAATAATCTCTTAAAAATCTTAAGTACTGGGTGAAGTCATGAAGACAAAAGGGTTGGGTTTCTGGAACCATTTCAGTCTATTCAACCATTCACTGGCTTTTTCTGCCCTTGTCTTTCCTTGCTTGTTACATAGTTCCAACCCTGAGTTTCTGGTGGCAGTTCTTCAAAAAGTTTTTGCAGCAGTTCAATTTAGTTAATCCAGTCTGTTCTTTAAACAGCAGTGTATGGGAGATCTGTTTTGTAGCTGGAGAATTTCTCTCCAGCTCCCGCCAAGTCCCTGAGCCCACTTATAAAATAAACATACAGACTCTTACATTATTTAAACTGGCCATTAGCTCAGGCCTATCATTGTCTAGCTCTTACTCTTATATTCAGCCCATTTCTATTAATCTATACTTTGCCACGTGGCTCGTGGCTTACTGGTACCTTACATCTTCCTTGTCCTGGCGGTGACTCCAAGTAGTCTCTCCCTCTGCCTTCCTGTTCCCTCAATTTTCCTCTCTGTTAGTCCAGTCCAAACTTTCTGTCTGGCTACTGGTCAATCAGTGTTTTATTTATATAGAGTGATATCCATAGTACTTCCCCTTTTCTTCTTTTTCAAAAAGGAAGGTTTAACTTTAACATAGTAAAATTACATATAACAAAACAATTATCAAGCAAGAATTACAGTTACAACATTAAAGAAGATATCCTACCTATCTTTTAATTTATTTTATTTTTTATTTATATTTATATTTATTTATATTTATTTTATTTTTTATTTATTTGTGAGTCTAAGGTTTTATATCTAACCCATCTTTTATCATAACTGAGGAAATTATAACTATCTAGTCTTCAACCACATCAAAGACGTCAGAAGGATATAATACTACCTGAGAAACGGGAGAAGGATGTAAGCAACTTTCAAGAGTCTT